AATTTAAATTCTTAAACAATTAAATAATCACTGTTCAATTTTTTCTAAATTTCAGCCTATAAATTGAAATGCACATTTGTAAATCAATGTTAAAATGTTCTGTTAAGACTGTAGACATGTGAAAGTTGTTTGTCCATTTGATACAGTTGACATCCGTTTGACATGTGGCCAGGAAGATATAGTCTGGTTTTAGTGTACATGTAATTCTTCATTGGACCGTGAGATGATAAAAGGCAAAAGACATAAAATTTGTACCTTTTATACATTTGATAAAAGCAGGGACACGGTAAATATTAACAGGCCATATAGGGAGAATCAGGAGATCATATCAGTGGCCATCCAGCCGTACCTTTATAGACATACAATCCCGTTATGTATTGATGTGGACACAGAGAGTCATTAAATCAAAATTAATCAGATGTGATCTTTATGTCCAATTTTTAATATGCTGTAAATATGTCACAAATCATGATGGCTTTCTTCCTGGATGGCTTAAGGGAAGAAGCTGTCTGGAGCCAAAGACTTATTTCCCAAGATGCTCGTAAAATATAACAATACATAAACTGGAACATATTTACATAATGGTTTGGATTAAAACATTCATGAGAGTTACATATAATAATGAGTCTAGATTGATGAGATGTTTGTAACAGTCTGTTAGCTACTTTTAACATCTCAGTAACTACTCACTAGATAGTATACTTACTACAGAGTTATTGATAACTATGGGTTGGACTGGTAACAAACTTTTAACTCTTAAGGTCACCTGAAAATGAGGTCTTTATGCCTTATTCATACTTGGATTTTACTGCCAACTTGTCCATAGTTTTGATCACTAAATTTACACTTTCACTTTGTATTTTGTCAATTAAGATATGAAAAAAATCAAAAATTTATGGAAAAAATCAATTAATTAAAACAACTCCACTTCAAAATAAATCAAAAGTTTTCTCTTTTTACTTTCTTTGTGGCAATAACAACAACATAAGAAATCATTGCTGAACACTTTGTATTTTCATCTGAGTTTCATTATTAAGATGTAATTGTGAGAATTGCTCTTTTTATTTGATGCTTTATTGTAGGTATGTGCAATGATTCTACTTAGAGATGTGTTTGTATGTTAAGTACCTGTGATTAAATTATATACTTACACACTTTAGTTATATAAAATGACTTTCTCAGAGTACAGTCACTTTCATGAAAAAATGTTTATCCTTTCCATAGGTTTGCATGGATTATTCATTTTTTTTAAACTCAAAGTGATGTCTCTCAGTGTTGAAGAAATAAATCATTAAGCTGTGGGATTAAATGAACAAGTCTCACATAATCAAACACTTCAGAAAAGGCATTAAAAACAAGAAAATCACCCCTCCCCTACAATCAACCAAAACTAAGTTTAAAATGTTTTTTTTAAACCGTTTTCCAAGTTGATTCAACAATGCTTGATTTTAAGCCATTAACGTGTCTATAGATATGCTTTCTGCTATATTGTGGTTTACAATTAGTAATGACATATGTAGATAACCTGTTGATATTTGTAGAAAACTGTAACACATGATAACTTGCCAATAAGAGTCCTCACAAACATAATAGTACTATCAGAGGAAAAACTTGGTGCTCTTACATTGCCTCTGAAATAAATATGTCAACTCGGCCATCAAGAGTACTGTAAATTCAGATATTATTGCGTGCATTTATTATTGCGATTTTGTCATTTTAGACTAAAATGCGATTTTAATTTTTTGCGATATTGAGAAAAATCCTGTTTAATTCATATAAAAGATTTCAAAATGCGAGTTTAAATTATTGCGATTATAACCCTGTCGCATTTTTCGCAATAATAAAAACATCGCAATAATTTCTGAATTTACAGTAAATCCACTGCTGTGGACTCAGAAAGAAATATGTTGACTGGGCCATTAGAGTAATTCTACTGCTGTGGACTCAGAAAGAAACATGTAGACTGGACCATCAGAGTAATTCTACTGTTGTGGACTCAGAAATAAACATGTCGACTCCACCATCAGAGTAATTCTACTGATGTGGACTCAGAAAGAAACATGTCGACTGGCCCATCAGAGTTATTCTACTGCTGTGGACTCAGAAAATAACATGTCGACTGGGCCATCAGAGTAATTCTACTGCTGTGGACTCAGAAAGAAACATGTCGACTGGGCCATCAGAGTAATTCTACTGCAGTGGACTCAGAAATAAATATGTCAACTCGGCCATCAGAGTAATTCTACTGCTGTGGACTCAGAAATAAACATGTCAACTCGGCCATCAAGAGTAAATCCACTGCTGTGGACTCAGAAAGAAACATGTCGACTGGGTCATCAGAGTAATTCTGCTGCTGTGGACTCAGAAATAAACATGTCGACTGGGCCATCAGAGTAGTTCTGCTGCTGTGGACTCAGAAATAAACATGTTGACTGGGTCATCAGAGTAATTCTGCTGCTGTGGACTCAGAAATAAACATGTCAACTCGGCTATCAAGAGTAAATCCACTGCTGTGGACTCAGAAAGAAACATGTCGACTGGGTCATCAGAGTAATTCTGCTGCTGTGGACTCAGAAATAAACATGTCGACTGGGCCATCAGAGTAATTCTGCTGCTGTGGACTCAGAAATAAACATGTTGACTGGGTCATCAGAGTAATTCTGCTGCTGTGGACTCAGAAAGAAACATGTCGACTGGGTCATCAGAGTAATTCTGCTGCTGTGGACTCAGAAATAAACATGTTGACTGGGCCATCAGAGTAATTCTGCTGCTGTGGACTCAGAAATAAACATGTCAACTCGGCCATCAAGAGTAAATCCACTGCTGTGGACTCAGAAAGAAACATGTCGACTGGGCCATCAGAGTAATTCTGCTGCTGTGGACTCAGAAATAAACATGTTGACTCCACCATCAGAAATATTGTGCTGCTGTTGATTGAGATAGAAACATGATATCCTTACAAACAATGATTTGTCCTTACTCTAAAGAAACGTGATAACTCAGCTCACAGATTAATATTTGTTCATCTTTACTCAACAGTTGAACAACGAGTCATGATATTTACAACAACACTTGATCTATTTACCGACTCGTCATTGGGACATAAATCTATTCTTAAGTTAAATAGTTTCGGATGCTAAACAAACAGAGAATTTTAGAAAACAAACACTGCTTCCTTCCTTACTCTATGCCATTACGTAAATTTATAGTTTATATGATCGATACCAATTATAAATATGCAGTTACAATAAACTATTACATTGTGATCAGAGATAGTTTGACTTAATCCTAGTAAAGGTAATTTCCACACCTCATAAGTTTTATTATTTACACAAACATGACTTCTAAATTTGACCAATTATTTTAGAACAAAGTATAATTTTCTAGAATTAGGAAACTGAGGTGATAATTAAGCTTATTTATTTACTATAATATCATTATGGCAGTCAATATTTTCACATAAATAATGAAGCATTAAAATAAATAATTAAAACGAATTACCATGCTAATGTTGGGCAATGATGTGGCATTGAACACAAACAGTAACAAATTAAATGTGATGTCGTGTTAAATAGCTATCAACCAATTACAGTGTAGAAAAGTAAATCAAGCTCAATGTTTGGACTTAAAAATTAGAGCAGAGCCTCAGCAGAAGCTCAAAACTTCCAAATTTTTAGCATGAATTAGGTTGTAGAGGACAAAGATAGACCAGTAATTACATGTATTATCATATTATTTTGATACCATTGTCAAGATCATTTAGTGTTTATAAAGCAAGCATAGGTCAATACTTGGTTGTGTTTGGGTTTTTTTAACACAGCCTTTTTAAATTCTTTCCAGGTCTGGAATAAGCAGGTCAAATTGAGACAAAAATTACAAGTAATGATTTACATATAGTATATCTTTCATCATCATTTTTGCCTCAATTTTTCCTCTAAAAATGGAGGGGGGGGGGAATTTTGGGCATAAAACAGGTCAAAAATTGGTAGGATTGCTTCCTCACTAATCTCGTGCTTGATTTTTTGTGAATTTTTTACTCACCTTCAATAAATTGGTATCACTGATGCTTCATATATTCAATATTATCCTTTATTTACTGTATACACAAGACATTGAAAAAATTAATAATAAAATGCTTATATTTTGAAATTTTATCTGGGATAAATTCTAATGCAGACTCCGTAAATTGCTGTTTTACAATGTATACTTTATAAAGTGGAATGGAAAATATAAGTTAGACAAACAAGTATAACGTGACACTATCATATCGTTAGTCACACACAACCGTTTCCGCAAACAGAGACAATCTAGATGTTAAAAGTTTGTAAACATCAATTTAAGGACAGTATCAGTTTCATCAATGGTAGATATAAATCATTATTCGTAATTATCAAACATGCATCACATGACTTAACAGTCACATCAGCAACTTTGTTATTACTATTGTGACAATTATTATGGTATATTATACTGTTTTAACCTGGGAAGGACCAAAGTAACGTAATTTATTTGCACGAGTAATAGCATACATACACAAGGGCAATGATATAAAATGTTCTTCTATGTTTTTATTGTTTTATAGTACATTTGTTTGATCTGAAATACTTTTTGCTGCAGTGGCTGTTTAACTTACCGGTATGGAGAAAATGTTATTTGTAATTTCGCACTTTAGTTTATATCTTTTTGCTTCGCTTGTGATTTTTCTTGTATCTAATTCTACAATGATGAAAATTTCTTATTTTTTTTCAAAAGAGGCTAAATCATTGAGTGGATGCGTAGTTGATTTGACCTGGGTAGTTTTTTTCTTACAGTTTGACTGGAAATTTCAAAGCATGTTCTACATGAAAAGTTTACTACCCAAAATGACAAAGACCAGCATACAACCAATTCCATAAGATACACACACACAAACATGAGGCAACATGTCATCAAAACACGATTGTATAACATACATATATAGTCTATGGCACCATTTAATCATTTCTTTTTGTATTTTCCAGTAAGATTTGGAGTATGGAAGGAGCTACCTCGTACATCCCATGAAGCTGAGCGAAAAGGCTACAACAGAGTTAATGATATCTGCAAAAGTGAGTAAAAGGGATTTCACTCTTACATAATGTTTAACAGAAACTTATATTTACATTTGTTTTATATTCTGTCTTTTCTTTTTCAAACTTCAAAGCTTCATTTCCACTTCTTTTGAATTTAGATTTGTTCAATGAAACATGCAGCTTAGTAACAAAACCATTTTACTATATTAAGGTTGACTGTTGGAAACGAATGGATTACGAAATCCTATTTCAAATCCTTTCTTTTCTAAAAAAAATATAATTAAGGAAATATTAACGAAATAAGATTTTATATAAGCCTGACACAATCACTTGTTAAACACCACAGGCAAAATTTTCTACAAAAACATATTGATTTGTAATTTTCACGTCGCGTTGTATTTATTTCTGAATTAGGTGAGTTTTAAATGAAAGATGTCCATAAAATAAGCTGTAATCACAGTGATTAAACTTATCATTACCTGCTAGGAACAATATACAAACTCTGCTACCGGTGATTACAGCATTAAAAATCATTTCCGGAATGAGAGAAACCACCAATCAATACAGAATGTCTTTACACTATGTAACAACATTTTATGTACAAAACCATAACTTGTAACTTTACAACATGATTATAAATTTAGTAATAGCATGATATCTGATCATGTTCATAAGGTATCTGGACTAATATTCCAACAAGCTTATTTCCAATTTCACTGAGAAATCATATTCATCCTAATAAAGTGTATTTCCAAGATTAATACAGTCTATCATAGATACTTTATCATTTTTTCTTATATGGAAATCAAAGCACTGAGCAAACATTTATGCCAGACTTTTGTCATGGGTCAGTGATCAATTATGTCTAGTCTTGACCGTGGGACCATGCAACCCTAGGTGTGTTCTAATGCAATTACAAACTGATATACAGGAAAGTGAACCTCAATACAGGAGAAACTCTACTTTCTAACATTTTTAGGAGAATGAATCTAATCCTCTCAGTCAGTTCCTCACTCTCCCTGTTAAATCTGATCTTTGGTCAATGAACAGGACTTATTAAGAAGCAAGAATATGTGCCAATAGGAAACCATACTAATTTAATTTATGCCCCAATTTTGTCACTTTATTAAATCATGGCTGCTACCCCCAGCAGATTGCACCTATCAAAGCCGAAGCTTTTCTAATCAGCAATTTATCTGCCTTAACTTCAAAGCATCCCCAACATCATCTAGAAAATCCAACTGTATATAAAACTATATAGTGTCATCAAAGTAAACTGAATCCAAACAATTGTACAGAAGTGAACCTGCATCAGTCTGTTTTAATAACTGTCAATACCTTTATCAATATCTATTTGAAGTTAACTTAGCATTCCAAGTTAATTGATACTTAGACTAAAGATCAAAAACCTTCAGAACAAACAGATTACTGTAGAAGTTATCAAGTGTTTACCACTCCATGTGCTATAATCTTGTTTACTGACTTATACACAGACTAAATACTGTCTGGTGTACATGTAATTTTGTTAATTGACTTATACAGGTTGTTAACAAGCTAAATAATGCCAGCTCTCTGCTGATAAAACTTCATCTACTGTAAACTTGTTTACACACTGCAAACGGTTTGTCAGCTCTCAGATGAAATGATTCCATAACATTATAAGTTTTTTTGTTGCATAATGTCAGTTCTAAGTATTAAAGGGATCTGATGGGACTTGTCTTCATAGATTTTATTTTTGTTTACTAACTTAAACATGTGAACAGACTGCACACACTTTTTGACTTTGGTTGATACTGGATAAGATATTGTAATTTTCAGTTAAATAATCATCTAGCTTCATTAAATGTGCCCTAATGGAAAGCCTATAGGCCCTATCCAAATATTCCCAAATGTAACCCTACACAAAGTACTATACTTATGTTAGGTGTTCATTTATTTACTAATCATTAAAAATAAACTGGAAATACTTGTAACTCATAATCTGACAGTATAACACTGCTGTATTATTATGTATAATTTGACAGTATAACACTGCTGTATTAGTGTGTATAATCTGACAGTATAACACTGCTGTATTATTATGTATAATCTGACAGTATAACACTGCTGTATTATTATGTATAATTTGACAGTATAACACTGTTGTATTAGTATGTATAATCTGACAGTATAACACTGCTGTATTAGTATGTATAATCTGACAGTATAACACTGCTGTATTATTATGTATAATCTGACAGTATAACACTGCTGTATTATTATGTATAATTTGACAGTATAACACTGCTGTATTATTATGTATAATTTGACAGTATAACACTGCTGTATTTTTATGTATAATTTGACAGTATAACACTGCTGTATTATTATGTATAATCTGACAGTATGAACACTGCTGTATTATTATGTATAATCTGACAGTATAACACTGCTGTATTATTATGTATAATTTGACAGTATAACACTGCTGTATTATTATGTATAATTTGACAGTATAACACTGCTGTATTATTGTGTTCTGTATCAGTCACAAATAATAATATTAATAGTCATCTGTCTAAAAAATGTAATTAAAAGACCCATCTACTGAAGTGCACTTTTCAATGTTATATTAAATATCATTATCAAGTACCTATAAACCTTCACCAACAAAAACCTTTTTTCCTCATGACACTAATTGTAGCAGTATGAATTGCCTGTATATTTGCATCTAACATATGCTGTCAAAAAATACATTTTTTAAATCTAAAAAACAAACATGAGGTATAAAGAACAAATGTACACAAGGGGATCCACAATTATATAAAAACCTCTCACAAGTACTTTTCAGAACCACACACATGATGTAAAACATCCACTTAGATTGAAGTACAAATGGCAACTCTATCATGTCTGGCTTTTTTCAATACTTTATCAAAATGACAAGATTTTTCACCAAGACAAAAATTAAACTGCCCTCAGTTATCACAGCAAAAGAAATCAGGGTTTAACCAGTATTTTTCTTTTTAAATATAACATAGAAAACCAACCAATTTATTAATCACAAAAAGGTAAAGCTATATTATATATATGTTTCTTAAATTTTAAACTTTATTCTGATACTGTTAAACAAGTTATTTTCATGGATATTTTTTTTCCAATAAAACCATTATTCTAGTTTATTTCTGGACGATTTTAAAACCTTGAATGTAAGAGAAGAATAAGCTTAACATATTCATAGTTACATTTACTAAACTGAATTTTTTTTTTTTTTTGGGGGGGGGGGGGGGGGGTTGCTTTTGACTTATTTTAAGGATGACCGTTTTTTTCTTCAGATTGTTTTGGCCTTTAAAATCTTTCATCTCAAAATTTCAACTCACTCCCTCCTTTAAACAATCTCCAATTTGTCATTTCCCCAACCACACAGTCTTCATTTTTGGTTCTTCAGTTTCATGATGGTGGTTATTTAAGGCTTGTAGTACATTGGTGGTTACAAGTGAGTGATGTCCTAACTATGTTTTTTACCTATGGAATCATCAGAAAACATGTGTTCTTATGTAGTTAGGGGAACTAATTACTTCTCCAGTTAAGCCACAACAACATGTTCCATCTTTTCAACAGCCAGTGCCAAACATTGATAAAATTACTCAATCTGCTGATACCATTAAAACACTTCTTGTAAAACAATTAAAACTTTTGATAATCTTTATCGATTCTCATTAGCCAAAAGTTTGATTCATAATATCAAAACCATTCTGGTAGTCTTTGGCTTTTACAATAACATCTGGTGCACTTGAAGTGAAAAGTCAAATTTTCTAAAACACCAGAATCATTTCTCCTGCGCTTGAGGAAAATGATCAAACAATAGTAGGGATTTTTCTAATTTTTTTCTGAGATGTTACAATCAGACCAAACCAATAATAAAAGCAAATTGAGCTTCTGAAAGTTGACATGAAAAAAATGTCAACCGCTCGTCAAAAAAAGGCTAATATTAAACGTGATTATGCAAATGAATTCCAATGAGGATGTCACCATGAACATCTAAGAGGGTTAAGGTTGACACCTAATTGAACTAATATTACACAATTTTATTGCAAGAAAAAATCCAACAAACGGATAACTTTCAACATCTGGTAACCTAATCTAGTTTATTACTATAAGAAAAGCAGGCAACATCAGGCAGAAAACCTTCTGGTTAAATCAAAATTATCATCCAATAAGAAGAAACATGGAAACAAATTGCTGGAATTTACTCTAATGTTTAAAATATTCTTATTCTTCTAAAAAACTAATTTAGCTACCACAGAGAACTAAGAAATCACAGGCCAAATTTTCTGATTTTCAGTGGGGTTTTTTCATGAATTTACACAGTATCTATAAATAGTAAACCTGTGTTATTAGTGATGTATATCCCATACCTTTTTATTCATATTCACATGTGATATGTTTTGGTAGAATCTTTAAGTGACATTTATCAGTTCCACACTTTTATTATTCTACAGTAGTTTAACCTTTCATCAAAAAGTAATATACCCATCCCACATTATTATATTTGTGAAATTTATTAAAAAATTTAAATAAAAAATTGATTACAAATTGACCCTACTGTGAGTGAGTATGACGATTACCCAATAACATGAAAAATAAACTATCATAGAAATGACATTAATGTAAATGTTCTATATTTAGGAAAATATCGGAAGAATAACAGCCAGGCTTAATAGAATGTTTAAGAAATTTCTTGTATAATTTTTCCATTGAAAAATAATTTTTATTTGGAGTATGATCAAGTTAACCCTAAAATATCACAAAATAATTACAATAGAAAATGTTGTCAATGACAAAAATATGAAAAAGCAATTGAAAAGTATCTCTATTAGTCTGAAGAACAGCATTCGACTCAATAGACCGTATGTCGTAATACGATTATATCAAAGCTTTGATCTTATAACAAAGTGTGAGACGCTGATATTTCAACCTACCGAGATTAGATGTTTGCAACACAACAATGCAAATTTGCATACAATAGAAGTCTAAAAAACCACCATCTGACTGAC